AGATCAAATCAAATCAAAATACGTTTATTCAATTTAGATGCTTCTTAGAGCATGCTTATGAATGTCAACAACGTTTACAAAATTCACGAAAGAGCAAGACTACGCCATCCGTTCGCAAACTACCAGGAGGCCTTGTTCTGAGAAGAACGGGCAAGAAACTCAGCAAGTTTTGCCCTCCCTTTAAATTACAATTATTCAAAGGAAAATGTCATAAACCACAACGTCATTAAAGTTACATAAGTAAAAAAAATAAAAATCTGTTCTGTGATTTACCACATTCACCATCACACACATATTCATAACACTTCAAAGATAACCAATCAAATTATAAGAATATAATTAGAACTATTGCCAAGCGTTTTTATCTTCCAGGTAGTCATTGACTGTGTAGTAACCTTTACACATTAAGGTTTTTTTGATATGTGTTTTGAATCTGTTTAAAGGCAGTTCCAATATTTCATTAGGAATCATGTTATAGCAGCGTATAACATGATTCCTAGTGAAATATTGGAGATGTTAATGGTATAGGGGAGGCCTGCACTGAAGAGGCTACTACTGATGATTACTAATAATTTAGCTTAAAATCGTACTGTATATGTGTATTATTCAGTATAAAGAGGTACTTTTTAGAATCCGCAAATAAAATATTCTTAGGTAAACCGTTACCTTCAACTGTAAATTACAAAATAAGATACATAGTAATGTCCTCCGATAAGAGAAAGAATGGTCTCGCATGCAAATGCTATTTCATTGGATTTATGTTTCAATTCTATTTTGCATTGTGTTCGTATTTATAAAAGATGTATTTTTCCTTATGAGTACAGAACACTACACTCAAATTTTTGTCTATACATTTTTAATGGGCCTACTTTATATCCTACGTGAGGTTGGGTTTCTATGTGTTTCTTTTACCGAACAAGCAAGAGTTAATTGCTCAGATACATTCTAAATAGTATTGATGTAGGCGGGCACAAGAACACTCGGTTTCAGTGAACTTCATAGGTTTGAGGGCACTACTTAACGTTTAATTTTTTGTAGGTTATGTAAGAGACGCAAGTGGCGTATCTACATCTCGTAGATACCACTCATGCCGCGGCGTAAGAATATTTTGGTTGTGGATTAACTTGTTAAATTATTATCAGTAATTTGATTTCATCACATTCTCACGTAATTATTTTAATTTATATTCATTATTGTTGCTCGCTTACAAATGCTTATTCAATATAGATTTCACTCAAAAAGATCAAATCATGTTTAAGAAAACAGAACACAAAACACACTGTTTTTGCAAATCGCGAAGTGGATACAGGTCGAGTTATCGAGTAATTCGTCAAAAGTTCTTGTTGACATTCGAAAGTAATTAAAGAATTTACTTTCGTCAGCCCTCAAAGTGCCATATAACAAGACAAAGTCTCCTGCAACGGCTCTCTGCTCAATCAATGGATGAACATGGAGTCTTCGTCGTCGCCAGTTTCCATTTTTTTGATATAGGTAGTACAAAGCAGCAATATCTAATACACTCCGCATTTTGGTCTTCGTCTGTACAGTAAGGCGGTCAGTACGATACTGAAACGAGCCACGCTGAGCCTCAGCGCTGATGAACTACGCGCTGATCGATGAGCGCTGACGGTGAGCGTGTGACTAAATTCAGCCTAAATTGTATATATTACTTTTTGTTTCCACTACACATCTACTGAAAAGACAAAGGAAGGTTTTTATGTATAATAATGGCATCTATATAGTAAACAAAGTCACTTTTAATTTATATATTTAATGATCAGTCATGTTTCTTTGTATTTACTTATACCCTTTTACGCGAGGGAGGTCGCGAATAGCTTGCATTAAATTTACAATAATAACTACGACTCTTTAGAAATTTTATGTGTAAAAATAGTTACACAATATCCAATAATTTTGGCTCTACCAACTTTCGCGTTTTCGGCTAAAGAAAATTCAAATTTTATGATAAACGTATACATAGAGAGTGGGGGCGTGTCCTGACCGATATTGAATAATTGATGGTTGTCAGGCACGTAAAATGCCACTTTGATCCAGCTTAATGTGAACCTATTTTTACGAGAGTCGAGAGCGTGTTGAACCGACAAAGCCAGCTAATGTATTCCATTACCTGTATGAAAAAAGCGAAACCTAGAACGTCAATTACTTTGCCCCAATCTACGTCACAGACATAAGCCAATAATTGATGCCCTTTTCCATTTGCGTCCTCATCAAAACGTCTGTAAATTGTTTATCAACCGAAAATTAAGGGCTTTTTGGGTTAAAATATATCGACAATGTGGCAGTATATTTTGTTTGAATTTGGAACATTACTTGTCAGTCGTATCTTCTGCATTTCGTTATTAATGGGATTGGAGGTTATATTTTTTTTTATTAAGGTTTTATATCAATTTATTGTAATTTATATTCGTAACAAAGTAATAAATACAATCATTGGTTCCAAGATTGTTAAGCACAGAATGGGAAGTGAAGTAAAATCTTATTTCTCAACACATATTAATATTTAACAATTATTAGTACACAATATAAAACTTATGAGAGTTTTAGTAAGAAAGTTTATTATCTCGTCACTCATGTGTTATCTTAAATACCTTTTTTTTCATACAATAAAATTCACAAAAAAGAGCGACTTTACATGAATTACAATCTAGCCTATACAATAATTATGGCTAATAAGTAATATTATGTTAACTTATTTTTATAATGTTAGTGCATAGGTTAAACTAAGGTAATGTTCTTTAACAGACTTAGAGTTCTATAATATTTTGACACTTGCCTAACACCATTTTTTTGTTTGTATATGTTAAATTAAAATTGTAAACACCGTTAGATTGTAATCTATCTTGCGAGATTATAAACTGTCGAAAGATTGTGAACCTCAGCGTACTGCTTACAATTTAACGTATTATTATTCGGTAAATTGTAATCTATCGAAGTAAAACCGTCAAATTGCGAAACGAATCGCACCTCGCGCGCTGATTGGTTAAACGGAATATGCCCCGCGCCACCATATTTGTTTGTTCATTCGTTTGTTGTCGAATATAAATTGATTGTTTTGATGAATGTAAATTGATGTCATGTTGAAAGTAACTCACAGCTTTAGAATTAGTTATATGAAATTGTTGGGAAGTAAAATAAATCTGTGATTGACCAAAGAAGTTTGAATGATAACTAAGTTAGTGTTGGAAATGAAATGAAAGAAAATTTCATTAATTTTTCAAGATAATTTTAAAATTTTCGCGCGTTCAACCAATCAGCGCGCGAGGTGCGATCCGTTTTACAATTTGACGGTTTTACTTCGATAGATTACAATCTACCGAATAATAATACGTTAAATTGTAAGCAGTTCGTTGAGGTTCACAATCTTTCGACAGTTTACAATCTCGCGAGATAGATTACAATCTAACGGTGTTTACAATTTTACGATGACATATACAAAGATTTTAATATATGTTGCTGTTTGACATTTACATTTTACATATATTAAACAAAAAAGCAATCAGTTGTCTAAACCTTGATGTCGGATTCCACAAGCTTTTATGATTTGAAGTCCAAGCGATCTAATTGAATTTTTTCAACTTGGAATTATATTGGAAATGTTTAATCGGCGTTTCATTCTCGGATATAAAATATTGATATATCATAATAAAAGTTGATACTGAATTGTAATATTACATATTTCATAAGCATTTTAAAACTAAAATAATATCGCGGAACCTAGTACTGACCCAGCTATTCGCTCTCCAATTAGGGAAGTTGGAGAATTTAGTTATATCGCTTTCCCAATCAGGCAAATATCAAACGAAGCTTTTTAATGATACTATCAAGTTCTAATTACTTTCTTCTTTAGATAAAAATATTTTTTTACTTTGATGTCAGATGTATTTAATAAATATCAGTAATATTCGATACTTGGATCTTTTTTCTGTAGTGTATTCAGTAGCAATTAATGCGAATTAAAATTCTGAGATAATAAAATCCCGGACCCGTAGGGACCAAAGTTTTGAGGGGAAGACTAACATAACCACCTCGATGGTCTACTGATAAACATGCTGCAGATAAGGTCTCGGGTTGATATCTCTCGTGAAATCGAAAACTTATGATAACATTATTAACATGCCTTGTACGAACACGAATTAGCTGCCGATCGGCAATGTTTTGGGGTTTATCAAACTATGGCACTTATTATGAAACTTTTGATATTTTCCCGTTCCAAAAAGTATGTGAGAAAATATTTAAATAAGCGGGAACACCTTGACTTAGTTTAGCAATAACAATTTAGTTTTTTCTTTATATAATATTATGTTTAAAGAAAAAACTTTTTAACCGGATTAAAGTTATGTATTATTATAAATTTACAATTACCACGCACGCTGTAAAGCATGCGAAACGTCGGATAAATTTAAAATTATGTTAAATAATTGTAAATTTATAATAATACATAACTTTAATCCGGTTAAAAAGTTTTTTCTTTAAATGTGTAAAGGTTATGTTAATCAAAGACAATACTATAATATTATGTATTACTGGTCGTTTGTTTATGGTTTAATTTCAGTTTTCTTTTTGTCTATTAATGTACTTATGTTTTCTGTTTCTAGCTTATAAATACAAAAAAAGTACAATAAAAACAATAACTAACCTTAAAATATATTATTAAAAGGTCCCTTTAGGCAAGGTTCCGAAGATATTGGCAGCGTTCCCCCTTTGAATAGCTAGACTAATTCTTTATCCGAAGTAGCTGCCAGCTCTTCTGTCTCATGTGATGTCGACTAATCTTCCTTTTTATTTTGACCTTTTTTAACTTTTTGTCTGTTTTTTATATTTAGTTTCTCAATATAATCTCTTTCGGCTTTGTGTATCGTTTACAATACATTTCTTACATTTCTTTTATAATATGGATATGTGTTAGCTGTAAGATTAGTAATAAATAAATTAATTAATATATTATTATTCCATTGTTAATAATAAAGCTTCATGCCGTATTACAGGGGCAATGAAGCTGTTGATTCTATGTAAGACGTTGTAGTGACGAAAGGTGGTATGGAGGATGAAAATGGTTCTGAAATGTCGGGACTTTCAACAAATTCACTTCCCTGGTATGCCCGGCTATCCTTGATCTTTAACCTGCAAGTAGACGGGTACAAATTGTCAGCATCGCAATTTAGAACTATGCTATTATAGTTTCATAACATATTTAAAACAATTAACGATGAAAAATACATTACCATAGCTCTTTTGAAACCACTGGCCGTATCTGGGGCTGCTGGAAACATCCGAAAGTCGAACAAAAGACGATCGAGTAGGCCCCACGGATTGGAAAGACCAGCCAGTCAAGTGGACTGCATCTCGGTAATAGAACTGTTAAATCCTTCATCACGCGGTCTGTTGAATCTAAGCTGTAGCCCCATAGGATAGTCTTTTCTCTTACTTCTTCTGTATTTGTGCTTTCTTGTTTCTAAAATATAAAGTACAGCTTCTAAGTAAAGTTGTATACTCGTACAAGTGATTTTGTACCTGATGTAAGACGGGGTAATTTCTAAGGATTTACCGTTTTGAAGTCTCGTCTCTTAATCTAATATAATTCCTATCATATGTCTTTATTCTTTAAAAGTTTTAATAGCGTATGTTCCATTGACATTTTAAAATCCATTTAGTTATCACAAACAAAAATACTAACTACTCAAGTAATGACAGTTATACGTAAATAAAAATGTCTTTATTCGTCATAAACAATTCATGACAATGTGTAAGATTTGGTAACGTTTTTAAATAAAATATACCTTTTTCAGGGTCCCCAGCTGACCCAGTTCCCATAACAAACTTAATAGTAAATTTCATAATATTTTTTTACTACATTTTTAACTGTTTACAACACGCGTGCGTGTATGAGTGCATGTGTGGGTGCCTTTTGGAAATTATGATTATGATTAAGATTTAAGAAGACTTAGAGAGGATAGCAAAAGGTTTTCTGTGGATTTTGTAAAGGTGGCTCAGTTTTTGCTTTGCTTGGCTTAGAAAATTGGCCACGTATGGAATGTTAATTAATAAATAAATGTTAGTGAAAGAATATTTATTTATTTAACACTTCGTTGCATATACATTAATATAGTACAATTGACATAATTAAATAAAAAGGAGAGCAACTGGCGGCCTTATCGCTTTCTTATCGCTATCGAATATGTGTGTGGGTGCATCATAACAACAACATACTAATAATAATATTTCAATTTTTTGTTTGGATAAGTTTTGAATTGATAACACAATTTTTAATGCCTAGAAATTTGTTTGGAAGTAACACACTTAAAATATCAGAAAAACAAACTCGGTACAAACAATTATAAAATTTTATGAATATAATTCCATCTCATAACAGATAACGAGCTCCACTTACTTGAAACTTACTGACGGTCTGCCAAGATTCAGCAAATTGCAGCGTTCCATATATACCATCATTTAAATATATCATGTTTATATATTCGTTATCCTTTTTAATCTGAAAATATTAAATGTTAATTAAAAAATAAATCAATGGCGCTACAACCGTTTTTAGGTCGGCCACAGATTTCTGTATATGTTTCATGATCATTTGTTAATCTAATAGGCAATTAGGTGATCAGCCTCCAGTGCCTGACACACGCCGTCGACTTTTGTTTTTTTTACATGTCGGTTTCCTCACGATGTTTTCCTTCACCGTTCTAACGAATGTTCAATGCGCACAAAGACAGGAAGTCCATTTGTGTACAGCTGGGGATCGAACCTACGACCTCAAGGATGAAAGTCGCACGCTGAAGCTACTAGGGCAACACTTCTCAAAGCTAAGCAGAAATCATATGAATTTTAAACATTTAAACTTATATCTATACTAGTGGACCCCACAGACGTTGTCCTGCATGATATTTAAAGCGATTAGGATATTAAGCAAAGTATGAAAGTACCGACTGCAGTGCCATCTGCCGGGCTGATTTGTGAATCTAAACCATTCCCAGATCCCCTTGAACACACACAAAAAATTTCATCAAAATCGGTCCAGTCGTTTGAGAGGAGTTCAGTCACATACACACGCACAGAAGAAATATATATATTAAGATTTACTGGTACTATACACATTTTTTTAATTCAGTTATATGTTATAAACAAATCATTATCTTCTAAAACGTCTTTTAAACAAATGTTTTAAGTAATGTAACTTAAGTAAAAGTTCTTACCCTCTTAACAGAATTAATGCTGCAATATAAAGTCATAGAGGAATCGCAGACATATCTTCCTGGCTCCGCAATTATTTTCACGTTTTTGTCGGGGAAAAACTCTTCTAATGATGTGTTTATTAGCTGGGATACCTAAGAAATAATTGCGTCCTTTTAATTAATTGTAAATATTGTTGTATAGAAAGCACCTGCTGATGTTAAGCGAAACCCAGGATCAATGTAACTATACCAGTAGCCAACTAACATTTTTGAAAGCAATTTCGATATACAGTTAGTTTTTTCTATACCTGCCTTGCGATTCTGTAATTCACTTTTCGAACTCGAAGAGCTTGTAGTTTATTGTTTATCAGAAATGGTAAAATGACTGCTTTTCGACTGACTTGAGCGCGACCGCCGCTGTGAAAACCGCTGTTTGAGTTCGAAAAGTGAGTTACAGAATCGCAAGGCTGTTGAAATATTTGTCGGGGTTAAAATAGCGGTATCAATACAAGTATAAGTGTATAATGTTCTAATATATAAAATTCATAATCAAAAAGTTAGTCAATAATATTCGTTCCCATACTCCTCAGAAACGGCTCAACCGATTCTTATGAAATTGATTATGCATATTCAGTAAGGCTGAGAATCGGCTACTATCCATCTTTCAAACCTTTAAGTGATAAGGAGTGTCCACCTCATTTATTTTTTATTTTTTAGAAAAAGAAATTGTTGTTATGATACAACATACAAAATACATACAACCCCTAATTTTCACCGCTCTACGATCAACCTCTATTTTTCAATATTGTAGAAAGTTATTTTAATTGTACTAAAAAAATGTTTCCTAGAAATAATATATATGGCAAAACAAACGTTTGCCGGGTCAGCTAGTTATATTTATAATAACATTCAACAAAGTCAGCATAATTGAATAAATGAATATATTCCAGTACCTTATCAATATCCTTTGTTTTTTCACTCAGAAATCCTCCGCCTATATCGACTATTTTCATTTCTCTGCCCTGACTGGCTTCATAATCGAACAACGACCTGGCGTTCCGGATACCAGCTGCATGGCTGTCTGTTGAATTGCAGACGCTACCCACATGAAATGCGACACCAACAACCTATTATAAAAAAAGTGTGTGCGTGTAACCTTTACGCGCGATTGAAGTAACACTTCTTTGGCGTTGACGGCATATATCAATGAAATGATTAAATATTAACTTAAATAATAAATATCATATTATAATTTAATTATATTTATTATTCATGTGGCTTTACAAAGATTATTCAAATACGAAGGTTTGATCAGCACATGTCAATATAACCTTGTTATTGAATATTATAGAATGTCGCAATCGTGAGAAAATTTATTATTGATTTACTTATTTTAAAAGTAATAAATCAATAAGTATATTATGAGATTTTCAAAAAACTTTGCAATTGAAAACATTTTTTTTAAAACTGTTGAATTTTTTTAATTCACTTTTCTATTCTCTTATTGTAAAAGATTTTTTTTATAAAAATTGGTTATTTTTATATATTAGGTTACATATGAAATTGGCGTTTTGTATGGGAGGAACAAAAAGTCGAATATTTTTAAATATAATATATTTAATTAATGAAAGTATGAACCATTGTTTTCTATGCACTTTTGCCATCTCATAGGTAGTTCATTGATCCCTTTACTAAAAAAACCAGTCGGACGGGAATCATTAAAATCTGTGAAGGCGATTTGGACTGCCCCATCAGAGTTAAATTCTTTCCCTTGCAAGAAGTTGTCCAAATTTCTAAAAAAATGCTAATCTGTTTTAGCAAGGTCCGGGGAGTACGGAGGATGTCTTAGACATTCCAATTGAAGCTCTTCTAATTTGGTAGCCGTCTGTTGTGCAGTTTGTGGTCTAGCGTTGTCGTGAAGTAGCAGTGGCGTGGAGCGATTGACCAGCCTAGGTTGTTTAGCCGCTAGCTTTGCATCATGGTTTGCAATTGCTGACAATAGACATCAGCCGTAATAGTCTGGCCAGATTTGAGAAAACTGCAATGAACAATACCGGCACTAGTCCACCAAACGCTTACAAGTAACTTTTTTGGGGTTAATTTTCGCTTGGGGCAGAATTTGGTTGGCTGGCCAGGATCCAACCATTGCGCTAAGCGCTTCCGATTATCGTAAAGAATTAATACATGAGTAAATAGCTGTACAAATTTGAATTTGGAATTCCTTACCAAAGAGGAGAACATCGTGATTAAAGTGGCCAGTACGAAAAACGCCAATTTCATATGTAAGGACCTAATAAAATTGACCCGATTTTTAAGATAATAATTTGGTATTCATTTACTTCTTCCAAAATGGTAAAATACGAAATTAAGCGAAAAAAACTGGCCTACTACTATATATAACAAAAGAAAAGCAAGCTAGGATGGGATTCCCTCTTTAGTGGAATTTTAATTTGGTTACATGTTACTAGTATGGATTTTCATTTTAAATATAGTAATAATAACATAATTACTAGAATCAGTATCAAATAAAACGAATGAATGCTATCCTAAACCAAGAAACTGACTTAAATCAGTTCAAATAATGCACCACTAGATAGAAACTACGTTTAAGCGTTACTTCCGTCAGAAAAAAAATCTGAGTTACTCCCTAGTCGCGCCTAAAGAAGTTTTACTTCAAAATAATTGGTCTGTTTGTATTTACAATGTTCACAATTTGAGCGGCTAGGCTGGTTACCCATGGTCAGCGACGTGATGCTCATGTTCTCCATCTCTTATATTCCATCCTGTTCAACACTAAAACTCCTTCCTACCTCTGACGATTTCAAATTTTTGGGAGCCCATAACTATAACTTACGCTCTTCCTAACTTCGCTCGCTATAAAACTATATCCTTGAAATCCCATCTCATAACTCCTCCTTTCTTGGCGAGTCCTTTAAGGTCTCTCAAACTCAAACTCAAACTCAAAATATCTTTATTCAAGTAGGTAACCTGAAGTACACTTTTGAATCGTCAAGTTAAATTAATCGTAAATTTACATTTACTACCAGTTCGCAAGTCAAGGGCGTAGAGCGGGTAAGAAGAACTGGCAAGAAACTTTCCGCCACTCTTTTTAATCGCCAAGTATTGTCATACAAATTGTTTGAACTGGAGCAATTCAATCCCAAGTGGCTCATTTAAGTAGTCCTCAAATTTATAAAGTTAGGCTCAGCTCCTTCTCTATCTCCCTTAAAATTTCTTCTGTACAAAAAGTACCTGTCCACATCGTATCCCTAACTTTTGTATTAACTACTAACTAACGTGAGACTGATCTTAAATTAAATTATCATGATTCCTTTTTCTTAATAACTACGTATATATGTAACATGTATTTTTGCATTTCTTGCCTACCTTATCTTTTAATACATTTTTGTTTCTTTTCTCACAGTGGTCGCCTGGAAGAGATCGCTCGAAAGCGATAAGGCCGCCAGTTTCCCTCCTTTACATTTAATTATGTAATTTTTTTATATTGTAATGCAACGAATTGTTAATAAATAAATAAATGTATATTCGTGGATACTTGGCGGACACATGTGACTTCTTCAATACAAAGACTCCCCTCGTGAGTTGTGTGCTGCGATATTGCGGGCTACTCGATTGTAAGGAAGTTGCATGTCAAAGTCAAGTCAAAAATCATTTATTCATGTAGGTAACACTATGTACACTTATGAACGTCAAAAAATTAATATACATTAAATGCTTCTAATTTTACATTTACTGCCAGTTCTCAAATCAAGGGCGTAGAACGGAAGAGGAGAACTGGCAATAAACTCTCCGCCACTCTTTTTTTTCATGGATCTGATTAGCGCTGCGCTTTCTTAAGTTATTGTCTTAAGTAAGTTGTGTTCTTATTGTCTTTCTTGTAATATGTTTGAGAGCAAAATTAAAATAATCCAGCAGCTACAACCCAATAAGTTTTTCGTGCCTGACACGGGCTAATAACGTTTCCTCAAGACCTACATGGTACAAGTTTTAATTGGGCGCATTGATTGAAAATCCAGTGTACAGTCGGGGCTAGGGCGCTTAGGGTTAGGGGACTATTCAAGTACATAGACCATCAGGCTCTAGGAAAACCATATTCACTTCATTCAATGGCTTATATTCCAATAGGAACTCATTTCACTATGATCCAATTTAAATCGATGCTGTATTTAGAATTCTATTTACAAATTAATCTATCAGCCCGAACTGATGAAAATTTTTATCATCAAATTGTTCTAGACTTATACTCCTTCAAGCAAAGCCATGTGATAACTCTACAATTAGTGTCGGTTACATGAACGAATTATAGTTAGTAAATAGATTTATGGAATTAATTTTTTAATTAATTGTAGAGGGAGCTTGACTATACTTTCCTAAAGGGAGTTTTTTTTTATAAAAGAGGGGGCAAACGGACCTGCTCACCTGATGTTAAGTGATACTACTGCCCATTGCGCGAGGGATCGTAAGTGTGTTGCTGGCTTTTTAGAGACGCCACTCTCTTTTCTTGAAGGATCCTAAGTCGAATTGGTTCGGAAATACTTTAGTGGGCAGCTGGTTCTACATATTGGTGGTGGTTCGGAAAAACTGCCTTGTTAAACGCTCAGTTATGGAACGGCGGACGTCGAGGTGATAGGGGTGGCATTTCGTATTCTGCCTCGACATCCGATGATGAAACTCAGCAGTAGGTATTAATCCGAACAACAATTTGATCTGTTTGTATGGTACAATGCTGTAGAAGATGGAGAGACCTCAGCTGTCTACGCATACACCAATGGTCAGCCGCTCGGTAAATGACATTAGTGTCTCGCATCTCTCGTTAAATACGGTCCTGTTCAACCCTAAAACTCCTTCCTATCTCTGACGATTTAAAATTTTTGGGAGCCCATAACTATAGCTTAGTCAAGGTGCTTTTATAACTTGGGCGAATATTTCGCCTACAAGTTTGACAACAATTTAAAAATTTATATGACATTTGCATGCCTATTTATATATGGCTGATTGTGCGAATTTTTGTAGTTGATCGTTGTACCACTATCTTTGCAAATAAACGATTTATTATTATTATTAGGTACGCTCTTCCGAAAACTATATCCTTGAAATCCCATCCCATAACTCCTCCTTTCTTGGCGAGTCCTTTAAGGTCTCAGCAGTTAGGCTATGGAATTCACTTCCCGTCCCTATTCGCTTAGCTCTTTCTGTATCTTCCTTTAAATTTCTTCTGTACAAACATTACCTGTCCACATCGTATCCCTAACTTTCGTATTAACTACAAACTAACGTGAGAATGATTTAAATTAAATTATCATGATTCTTTTTTCTTAATAACTATATGTAACATGTATATTTGCACTTGATGCCTACCTTATCTAATTTAATACATTTTTTTTTCTCACAGTGGTTGCCTAGAAGAGATCGCTCGAAAGCGATAAGGCCGCCAGTTTCCCTCCTTTACATTTAATTATGTAAATTTTTTATATTGTAATGCAACGAAGTGTTAATAAATAAATAAATGTATATTCGTGGATACTTGGCGGACACATGTGACTTCTTCAACTACAAAGACTCCCCTCGTGAGTTGTGTGCTGCGATATTGCGGGCTACTCGATTGTGAGGAAGTTGCATGTCAAAGTCAAGTCAAAAATCATTTATTCATGTAGGTAACACTATGTACACTTATGAACGTTAAAAAATAAATATACATTAAATGCTTCTAATTTTACATTTACTGCCAGTTCTCAAATCAAGGGCGTAGAACGGAAGAGGAGAACTGGCAATAAACTCTCCGCCACTCTTTTTTTTCATGGATCTGATTAGCGCTGCGCTTTCTTACGTTATTGTCTTAAGTAAGTTGTGTTCTTATTGTCTTTCTTGTAATATGTTTGAGAGCAAAAATAAAATAATCTAGCAGCTACAATCCAATAAGTTTTTCGTGCCTGACACGGGCTAATAACGTTTCCTCAATACCTGTAGGTATTGAGGAAACGTTGTACAAGTTTTAATTGGGCGCATTGATTGAAAATCCAGTGTACAGTCGGGGCTAGGGCGCTTAGGGTTAGGGAACTATTCAAGTACATAGACCATCAGGCTCTAGGAAAACCATATTCACTTCATTCAATGGCTTATATTCCAATAAGGAACTCATTTCACTATGATCCAACTTAAATCGATGCTGTATTTAGAATTCTATTTATAAATTAATCTATCAGCTCGAACTGATGAAAATTTTTATCATCAAATTGTTCTAGACTTATACTCCTTCAAGCAAAGCCATGTGATAACTCTACAATTAGTGTCGGTTACAGGAACGAATTATAGTTAGTAAATAGATTTATGGAATTAAATTTTTAATTAATTGTAGAGGGAGGTTGACTATACATTCCTAAAGGGAGTTTTTTTTTATAAAAGAGGGGGCAAACGGACCTGCTCACCTGATGTTAAGTGATACTACTGCCTATGGACGCCCATTGCCAGAGGGATCGTAAGTGTGTTGCTGGCTTTTTAGAGACGCCACTCCCTTTTCTTGAAGGATCCTAAGTCGAATTGGTTCGGAAATACTTCAGTGGGCAGCTGGTTCTACATATTGGTGGTGGTTCGGAAAAACTGCCTTGTTAAACGCTCAGTTATGGAACGGCGGACGTCGAGGTGATAGGGGTGACATTTCGTATTCTGCCTCGACATCCGATGATGAAACTCAGCAGTAGGTATTAATCCGAACAACACCTCTGATCACTCTCCATGGTAAATGCGGTAGAAGATGCAGAGAGACCCCACATCTCTACGCAACACAAAGGGATCAAGCCGCTCGGTAAATGATTAGTCGTCGACGATTGGAATTGCTCTTCGTTAAATACGGTCAAGTGGATGGATTAAATACTGGCAAAAAAAAGTTCCCACCTTGAAAGGCTATACTCCAATCGTGGGGCCGAATTTGCGCTTTAAAGAGTTAATAGTAAGCGGTGGCCCGGAGTGAAGTACCGTCTTACCTTGCTGAGCAGACCAAGCTTCTTAGAGGCTAATTTAGCTTTCCCCAGAGACTATAGAGACATCCAATCTGCGGCTACAAACTATACGAACAATATAATTATTTTGAGTGGTTTCCCCTTACAACGTTGATTACGCGTAAACTGCCGAGTACATTGAGAATCTATTACAATATAAACTCTAAAACTATTACACAAGGTTTTGTTTTACACGACATATTTTTTGAGCTGTACTCGATAACTTTCGTCTTAAATAATAAAATACATAGGTGATTATTCATTATGTGTAAGATTTGGGAACCCTTTTAAGTAGAAAATACTTGTGTCAGGGTTCCCAGCTCTTCCATTACAAACTTAATAGTCAATTCCAAAACAACTTGTTTTTGTTTTTTTAAGTACAATTTCGTTTTTTAAACTGTTTGCAACACATTCTCCCAATTTTCTTTTAACAAAAATCATTAAATGACGCGTAACACTCGTAAGTGCACGATTGAGTGTACATGTCAAGTCTCAGTATCATCTCTAACTCTTCGTAAGGTGTGTTCAGAAGCCAGACCTTTAACCATTTTTTTAAAATTGTGGACGGTGAGCGGGTAGATATTAATCAGCATCCACAAACAACGACAACATCCCTATTTGTTTTTAGATACAGCCTACGATAGGCATTGTCTTACGATTAACAATCAAGCCATGGGCTGACCTGAAGTAGGGTGCTATGTTAGTTACTGTTTATAGTATACTTTAAATATATACCTTGATTTTTAATTCGGCAGCTTCATTCAGTAGTGGTATGGCTTCAGTTTCAAAATCACAACCAAATTTTTCGCCTAATTGGTAAACGCTTTCACTGTCCACTCTTATTCTGATAAGGGTCCTGAAAATTGTAAACTAATTAGAATAATTGTTTATACGAAATTGCAGACACAATAAAATGTCTGTCCTGCCATATGACGGGCTCGATGTACTAGTTTAACATGACTGTGTAAAAAGCTTTACAGACAAGAGAGTAGAATTAGGAAATTACGAAGAAATTATAAAATAAATTTGGTCAACGGATACAGGCTCCTTTATATAATGTAGTCATAAATGCTAAAAGTCTTAAATATTTATATAGTTCTACTGTGCGTGTGTATGCCACTGAACTCTTCTTAAACGGCTAGAGCGATTTGAATAAATTTTTGAAGTCAAACTTCTTTAGGCTCATAAGGTTAAATTTTTTACGGAATGTCACGAAGATGTGCAGCGTTTTTATCAAAAGGGAGAGAGCGATTGAGACCGATTGAAAGAGAAGGTGAATTACCTTATACAAATTCGTATTTAAAATTTAAATTTCGTAAAGAGAATTTATGAAATATTAGTATTTATGCAAAATAATTTATTGAAATCTCGAATTGTAAATTAAAATGCCACGTGTTTTTATTTTCGAAGAAATTAATTAAAAAAAAAATTATTATTTGTATTAATTTTCGACATTTAATATTTTAATGACAATTAAATTTAATAAATTCCTAACATATCTTCGTTTTTCGCTCCCTCTAAGTCTCGGAAATCTAAAGTTTTAGATTTATATGTATAAATATGAACAAGAGTTAAAGATTAGTTTACCAAAGAAGTTTCACTTCTGACATGTATACTTTATACACACGCACTTTTTTTTGCGTTTGGGTGGCGCCCTAGATGGTTCAGATTCGCAGTCGGTATATAGTCGAGAATTATACATACACATTATAATTTTTTTTTTGTATGTAAGACGTGTGAACAGGACAACGTCTGTCGGGCCCGCTAGTATGTATATATAGATTTCCTGATAAAGGTGGCAATACATGTTAATATATAAAATGTTTTGGAACCGGTGTTATACATGCTTTCGATTGGGCAAATATTTAAAGGAATACGCGTTAATTATTTAATCACACTCTGTCTAATAAAAATTTAAAATTAGAAAAAAAGGCTATGTTTTGCGTGCAATATTAAAATATAAATTTTTATTTCTTTATAAATCATTAACTGTAATTAAAACTTACATAATACAACAAAAAGTGATAGTGAGGAAATTAAAAAAAAATATGACAGACTAATCTACTAATTAAATAGCATATAATATATAGTAATTTAATTACCTTGCATCCGGCCAATTTTGCTTGATTCTTTTCAATTCCGAAGATGAATCAAACACTGTATGAGTAATCCCAGATTTCTTAGCATAAGCCATCCATTCAGGCATTTTGATTGGTGACGCAAATATTATGCTCCTACGACAAAAAAACAATGATTAAATAGAACATTTTAAGTATTGTTTATATATAATAACTTTAATAGGCCTATGTAATTACTGTCTCAATCTAACTAAAAACGTCCCGACTTTTCTGGGCTTTTGTCCAGAATTTTAATTATCCTCTTCCCATATAAATCACTCGAATATCAATAAAACAAACACAAATATGTCTATTACATTCGCATTTACGACACACGGTTTTTGGTTCCAAGCTATTCTCATTTTCCGACACCGTAATAATAAAGAACATGAGGAGAAAAATACATTGCCGCACTAGGGTATTAGGGTTGAAAATCAAAGGCTGTACCATAGTCATCGAAGCCACACTGTTGAGCAGTGCATTTAGAATATTAAACTAATAATATCAAAAATAAAATATGTTTATTAAGGAACATAAGATGCATATATCACTTATTCCACGTCATTAAATTTGAATTTGTAGGCATCCCTACTCAACGGCAAAGAAGACAGAGGGTGTAGGCCGAGAGAAAAAGCCGGTGTAAAAAACTCTCGGTACTCTTTTAAAATATCAAAAGTAAAGATGCTTTAAAAATATTCTTAAAATTTATCTTACTTTGGGTGAACGCCGAGTTTAAGAACTTTATAAATTTCCCCTGGAGTCGCACAGTCAAAACCCAATCCTAATGCGGCTGCTAGCTTTAGAATCGCTTCATTGTCATTTGATTTAATTGCTGGAAATCAAATGGTTTATTTAGATTGCTTATGCCAATTTCATTACTCATGTATCATTTATAGAATCTCAATCAATAATTTAGTGTCAGAGATATTTGTGGATAAACATACATTCACTTACGGAATTTATCATGCTTAATGCATCATAATAAGAGACAAATTCCAACGATATAACTTACAGCTAAAACCGATAACTTCCTTTCTTTGTAGTTGGTTAAAAATAACAAGGCTGGTGTACGGTACATCATCTCAGCAGTCACGTTTTTGTTCCTTAGATTCGAAACACGCGATAAAAAGTTTTTCAAAAGGGAAAAATTAACAAAAGAACAATAAAAAATGTAAAACAAAACCAAAACAAATTAAATAAAAAGTTGGTGAAAGCTTCTAAAAACACCAAGGTCTATAGCTAATTGTCTGTAGCAGTTTAATAATTTTTGAAGTTATACTTCTTTAGGCGCGTTATGAAAAATTTATGAGAGTGAAATTTACGATGCGCCCGCACCGTGACACAAAATTATCAGTATGGGCGCCGAGGGTGCGCGAGCGAGATGGGAATAAGACAATCTACAAGTAAAAAGAAATAGAATATGTGTGACGTTAGCAGCTATGCCAAGAATTTTGAATGACCATAATGACATTTGTAGTAGGTACCTTTTAAACAAATAAAGGAGTTTAGATTATTTTTTCAAAGAAATTTAGCAATGCCTTTTCACAAAGACCTATTGTTACTTAGTTAAAAGGTTATGAAACATACCTAGTTATTAAATTGAATTAATAATATAATAAAATAATAAATAATAATTATTATTAATATTAATTAATAATTGAATAATATACTAAATATTAAATATTGTTAAATTATTAACGCTAACTATTTAATATTTAAAAAAAAAAAAAACCCCAAAAAGATTTCTTTCTTCCCTCCCCCCCCACCCCCCCCCCTCCTTTTTTTTTTATTTGTGGGGGGGGGGGCCGCCCCCCTTTTTTGTTTTTCCCCCCCCCCCCGCCCCCCCCCCCCCCCCCCCCCGGGCCCGCAAATTATTTATTATAATTAGTTCAAATATTATTTTTTTAAAAAGAAACGGAAGTATATCACTCTCAATGCCAGAGGCCTCGCGAGTGCGTTGCCGGACTTTTAAGAATTGGTACGCTCTTTAAGTACCTAAGTCACCATTTTTTATAGTGGTGGTGCGTGGCAAAACACTAAAAACGCTCAGTTGTGGACGGCGGGCAGTGAGGTGATACGGGTGGAATTTCGTTTTCTGTCTCACCTGATGTTGCAGGTATTGATCCAACAACTCCTCGAACATTCTCCGTACATGCGGTAAGATGCAACTCCCACATTCGCGCCAAAAGCCGCTCGCAAGATTGGTCGTTGCATTCGAACCCGTGTCGGTCAAATGGAAGGACTGGTACTGGGAGCTCTTTCATTGGGGCCGAATTTGGACTAAGTTGAATGGGTGGCCCGGGGAAGTACCGCCTCGCCTTGCACACTTTTGAGCCCATCCTTTCCCCAAACCAAATAAGTGTTCGGAAATGCTTAATCGCCAAGTATTCCAATGCTGGCTGAGGCTTTAAGGAAAGTGTCATCAAAAAGAGGATTAGCGACAAAGGGACGGAAAACGCGCAAAATTGTGTATTCTTGCACGGGCTAAATTGGGCTAGATTTACGTAGAAGAGTTTCGACTTCAGACACAAGTTTGTACCGGTAGTTATAGACGACTGCCCGGCTAGCGTAAATAGTATCACCAGTGCTGTCGTCTGCATAGCAATGAATGTTAAACAGGGAAATAAATAGGACATATTGCCTCTGCCCACATATGTGTAAGGTATACAGGGAGGTCACAAGCTGAGCTATCACGGCGAAATAAAATATGCTATTATACTTATGGACTAAACATATATATATATTATATACCGTAAAAGGCATTAACAGTAATAGAGTAAAAGCCTCCTCAAAAAAAATTTCAGAGTTTTCTCTTTCAGAGAGAGAGAGATCAGAGATCTTTTGCCGTCTCCAGCCATATTTCGCCCGCCGTCATCGCGTTGTCATCTGCCCACCTAGCACAAGGCTGGCCTCTCGATGGCCTTGTGGCCATTATGTTTTTAACCATTGAATAATTAGTTATATTGTAAATTCATTGTAAAACCTTGCCAATACTATTCCGATCGTGACAGTAAAATATGAAGTAAATCTTATGGTATCTAATGATAATTATATCTACACTTTATTAATAAATGATAATTATTATTATTATATTAACCCGGAAAAGACGAATGAAAGACTGAAAATCGTGCAGTTAAAAAAATATCGAAATAAACACACTCGCACAAAAACACTATCAAAAGAGGCCATAAATATATGAATCGTTCTATTAGTAAGCTAATCTAGTAATGGCTAACATACAGAAGAAAATTAGTATGGAATATCTTTATATATATAATTCTTCTGTGAGTGTGTATGTGACTGAACTTCTCTCAAACGACTGGACCGATTTTGATGAAATTTTTTGTGTGTGTTCAAGGGGATCTGGGAATGGTTTAGATTCACAAATCAGCCCGGCAGATGGCACTGCAGTCGGTACTTTCATATTTTGCTTAATATCCTAATCGCTTTAAATATCATGCAGGACAACGTGTGTGGGGTCCACTAGTATGAATATTATTATTCCATTTTAGATTATTATCTACTATTGTAATAGTAGACTACGAGTGGCAATGTGTTTTGGGCACTATTTTGAATTTTTGGAATACTTATTATCTTGACGATGTCGAACTTTCATATCCTATATCCTTATATAAAGCTTATTTCCTAACGTCAACTATGCCTATACCAGATTTTATTTAAATGGCTTTAGTGGTTTGGACCAAGTTTTAATTAAGAAGAATAAGGATGATAGGTTATGGAGTTGTTCAAACGTTTGGTAAGACGTGCGTTCAAAACTAACGATTTGCCGCATATAATAAAAATTAAGTTTTTTCTGATAGCGTGCTCTCCTGAGGTGGTGGTACGAACCGATGATGGGTTTTTCAATCTATGAACGCATTTAACACTTGTAAAGGAAAAGATCATAAAGAAATTGGCATGGCTTAGATTTAAAAATCGGTCTGTCATGGATACAAAAATCTGAGGTCACATGTTATTTTTAGTTAACATTCTAAGGTATTTCACCGCTACCACCACAATACAACACTACCAGAGTATTTATTTTACCGCATTTCAAGTCAATTTTAATGATGTTGAACACCTAATTATAAGAGTATTCAACCTGTGTATGTCTTTTTTTGAATGCGTTAATCCGAAACAATTTACTAATTGCTATTTTAACTAACCTTTCGTCATTGTTTATTCTGTGGTGAATTAGCACATTAGTTAAAACTGATATTAAACTGATTAAGTTTTTATAAGGGGTTATAAAAACTAAATTGTAGCAGTGTTGGCATAGGCAACGTACCACTCTCTTCACTGAGGTCTTAGGTTCGATCCCCGGCTGTGCGCCAATTTCTTTCGTTCGTTCTTCGACTTTCGTTATATGTGCGCATTTAACATTTAACCGGCTTGCTTTAGATTTTTTACTAGATTGACTATGATTATGAAACAGATTCAAAAATCTGAGGCCCAGACCTAAAAAGGTTGTAACGCCACTGATTTTTTATATTAGTTTAATAACAGTTTCAACATATTATATTTATATATTTACCGTAAAAGATAGCAACGCGCGGCAGCATTTGTTTGAAATATTCAATTCTTCGGCGAGTTTCATCTAAATCTTGAATAAAGAAAGCGTCCTTTTGAAAACCACTTTCTATTATTGTTTCAGCTATATCTTCAAGTGTATGTTTATCTAATACATAAGTTTTAGACGTATTTCTTGACTCCATTCTGAATATATAAACGGCAAAAAAGTATTTATATTCAAAACTTATTTGGCTTTACACAAAATACTGAAATAAGATTTAAAAACCATGGAGTTATATATCGATGGCTCACTCGGAAGTACAATACAAAATGAATAAGTAGCTAATTAACTTTAAAATGCAATACCCATTTGGAGGAATGTTATTCAAAAACAAAATTTATGGTTTAGAAAAAAATATAGGAAATAACAAGTGTAAAATTAAATTTCAAGTGATTTGTGTCAACTTTACTTGATTAATGAAAGTTAATTAATCATAACTTATATTATGTACATCGAATAAATGCCGTCTGATAGTGAAAACTTGACACCATTAGAATATCAATGAACGTACGAATCAATTATATATTAACAAACAAATTATAACTTTTAACATTGGAAGAATTGGAATTAAAATTGCCTTTATTTTTATCCTAACTAGGGCTTCATACAAAATTCTACAAATTCTGTAAACTCGTTTGATAAAGTTGTTTAAGAATAATTACTTATTTACAAAGTTATCGATCATTGCCGTGTAATGTTTTCAACGGAAAGATGGTTAAATTTTTAAAGGCAAGGTGCCTTTATGCCTGGGAGTGTATTTAGATCGTAAGTTTTGAAATTTATTTAAATAAATTATATAATAAATATTTATCTTAACTTTTATTATTATGAATGACATTATTATAATTAATAACATTTGCATGCGTGTTTTTATTATTATAATAATAATTATTTTGGTATATATGGTACAAAAATGTTATGGTGGTACAATCTTAAGTTCGTATGTTGGACACATAATGGCGTGCAAATTTGTCTTAAAATGTAGAATAGAAGTTACATTATGAGTCATATCATTATAGCCAATTCTTATATTATTTTATCATATATGGCTGATTTTGCGAGTTTATATTTAATAATAATAATCTTTATTCATTTTTTCTCACAAAAACTTAGTACGTAAACAAGTGACAGTTATATACTATTATAAATAAAATAATTGTCTTACTTCTATTTAGGGAAAATGCTAGTTTGTGTGAGACTGATGCCTGCTAAAGGTAAGAGTACCTGTGTTATACGTCATCAAGCCTCCACCACTTCGAATTGACAGAAGGTCTTAAAAAGTAGAAAAAAAATGAGTGAGAATAAACAATCATTATTACATAGGCTGCAACGTTAACAAAAAAAAATATTTATAATGATACACATATAAGGAAACCACATGGGGTATGTGTGTGTGCGTAAGTGTGTGTATGTGTTTGTGCGTAAGTGTGTGTATATGTGTGAGTGGGTGTCTGTGTGTTAGTGTGTGTACGTGAGTGTGTGTCTGTGTATGAATTATTACTTAATTGTTAATCTAATAAAGCTAAAACTATTATAAGGAAACCACATGGAGTATGTGTCTGTGCGTAAGTGTGTGTATGTGTGTGGGTTGGTGTCTGTGTGTTAGTGTGTGTACGTGAGTGTGTGTATGTGTGTGGGTTGGTGTCTGTGTGTTAGTGTGTGTACGTGAGTGTGTGTCTGTGTATGAATTATTACTTAATTGTTAATCTAATAAAACTAAAACTACTTTAACTTCTCGTATCATACTTATATATTATTATATATAATTAATCAATCTGCAAATTTCTTTGCAAATAAACGATTTATAATATAACAAATATTTGACGGTCAATTAAGACAAAGTAATATCAAAACGGTTACAGAACACTGTCCATTTGCGTACATCAAAACTAAAGTTCATAAAGAATTCTGTAATTACAAGTCTCATCCCTTGGGCGTCAACTACTTCTTATTACTTATGTTAATATAGGAGTAACGCGGTCTTCCCTCGGGCGCTGTGAGATTTTCTATAGAACTTGGGTCATAAATCCACGCCCAACTGGATGCTTGTTTGCATAATACAAGACCAGTCGGCTCTGTTTCATTACTTTGACACGTAACATATGGCTATGAATTTGTAGGCAGTACTGTTTAATAAATATTTGTATGGTCCATAAAGAAATCGATTTAAAAATGAATATATTTGAAAAATTTTGATATAGGTGACCCACCTTGTAACTCAGGATATATATTATTTCGTCATGATCGTAAAACAATGTCGGATTTGAAAAAAATCCAAAATCCACTTTTTATTATATTTGGACTAAATATTACGGCTACATTAAAAAAATCCGTGTGTTTTAAATTTCAAATTAATCAATCGGTAAAGTGACGGATTTGATAGACGCTCATAGAAGCATGTGATTTTCCTAGAAAACTGTGTAATTTAATGATATTATTTTTATTTTTTTTCCAAAAAAACCCATTTGTTTGCTTGTATGCCAATTTTCATAAGTACAGCCCTGCGATTCTGTAACTCACTTTTCGAACTCACACAGCGGTTTTCGCATCGGCGGTCGCTCTCAAATCAGTCGTGAAGCAGTAATTTTATGATTTGGCATTGTGATAAACAATAAACTACAAGCTCCCAGCTTTTCAGAATGCCAAATCATAAAATGACTGCTTCACGACTGATTTGAGAGCGACCGCCGATGCGAAAACCGCTGTGTGAGTTCGAAAAGTGAGTTACAGAATCGCAGGGCTGTATATGAATTAAAAAAGTTATGA